GACATTTCGGACCATGACGCTACTCTCGTTGAAATTAAACTAAACATTTTTCTTACTAACAAATTTAAACGCATGATTTGGTGTTATAAAAATGCTGACTATCCTAAATTTAATAACCTGTTACAAAACACCGATTGGCAATACGTATTTAGAAATGCTTATACATGCGACGATATGTGTTCGAATTTTACAGATAAGTATTTGGAATATGTCCATCTTTGTATTCCAACTAAGGTTATTACTGTTTGACCGAATGATAAACCGTGGTTTACAACTGAACTACATCGTAAAATTAGGATTAGAAATAGATCGCATAAATAAATAAAAAGAGGTTTTTTTCTGTAGAGAATTTAGCATAATTTAAAAAACATAGAAATCATGTCAACAATCTCAAACGTAGGACAAGAGAACATTTTTATGCTGATATTAATGGACTTTTAAATAATAATGCAAAAACTAATCAAAAGAATTTTTGGAAACTGGTTCGGAGATTAACTAAAAGTGCAGATGTATCTTACATTATACCTCCCCTAAAAGACCCTATTACTAATTCTACTGCAGTAGATGATGAACGGAAAGCTAATATTTTAAATGACTATTTTGTGTCTATCTCTGCTATAGACCACTCAGGTGTACCTTTACCACAAGTTGATATGAGAACCCAAAGTCGTATAGATATTATTTTTTTACACAAACTGATATTGTTGACATCCTTAAGTTTCTAAAATTAGGTAAAGCTGTTGGATATGATAAAATTAGTCACCAAATGCTTAAAAACACAGCTCTGTATGTTTCATTTCCGCTATTTCTGATATTCAGAAAGTCTCTTTTATCAAGAAATTTATCCCAATTCCTGGAAAAAAGCTTTAGTCATGCCCATTTTTAAGAAAGGTGATAAACAATGCCCCAGTAAGTATAGACCAATAGGTATATTAAGCACTGAAGGGAAAGTTTTTGAAAAAGTTATTAGAAAATGTCTGCATAATTATTTATTAGAAAATTCATTGTTATATAAATACCAATCTGGATTTCAGCAATTTCACTCTACAGTGCATCAACTAGTTGAAATTTATCATAATGTATGTATAAATCTACTGTCTTCTTTTTTGCGACATTTCCAAAGCTTTTGATCGGGTTTGGCATGCAGGTCTTGTACACAAATTAAAAAGCTATGGAATAAATGGAAATCTTTTAGACTGGCTATCCGATTATGTACAGAATCGCCATCAACAAGTCTTCATCCACAATGTTACTTCTCATACTAAAACAACTAATGCTGGTGTACCCCACGGTTCTGTCTTAGGTCCGCATCTTTTTCTCTTGTATATCAACGATATAACTGATAACCTTGCCAGCCCTTCCCATCATTTTGCTGATGATACTTCCCTATCCGTCTCTTCTCTTTCCGCAATTGAGCTTGAAACTACTACTAACCGAGATCTTGAAAAAACTCATAACTGGGCAGAAAATTGACTTGTTAAATTTAATCCTAATAAAACTGAAGCACTACTAATTTCAAATACCAATGCTGAGCTTGATGTCAATCTTATTTTTAATAATGTTAATATTGATTTTATTGAACATCATAAAAATCTAGGCATTTTCCTAGATGCTAACTGTAAATGGACTCACCATATTGATAAGGAATTCTCCGCAAGTTAAAATATACTTTAAATCGCAAGACATTACACAGAATTTATCTTACTTTTATACTCCCTCTACTTGAATACTGTTGCGAAGTTTGGGACGGTTGTACAACTGCCGATGCAAATAAACTTGAAAAACTCCAGTTATAAGCGGCGCGTATTGTCACCGGCCTGCCATCTTTTGCTAATAGAGCGTCTCTTTACTTCGAAACTGGTTGGGAAATCTTGTGTCAACGTCGCATCCGGGCCGCCGCAAACTTTAACTTTTCTACAAAATTCACAACAATATGACTCCCTCTTACCTTTCTGACCTTCTCCCGCCACTAGTAGCTAATTTAGCTCCTTATAATTTGAGAAACTCTGAGAACTATTCCATTCCTAATTTCCGTTTACAATCTTCACTTAACTCAATCTAATTAAAATTATATCTTCACATCGCTCCCGTTTACTGTCGCGTTGAAGATCTAACAGCATCCCATAGAGGGTCACGTCAGAGGTCAACATGAATGCATTATCGTATTTATAACAAGCCAATCAAAACGCGACATAACTCTTTCTTTCAACCAATCAGAAAGCAGGACCTGTAGCATTTAATGCAGACACCTCGTAGCCCAAAATCCCCTTTTTCGTCTGGTCCAGTGATAGTTTGATAGATGCGAAGCCTGTCATTGGTTAAATTTAGTTTCAGGTTGTTAAACTTTTTAACGACAACATCACCAGAAGAGGAAGTCTCTTATTTCAAAGCAAAATCCACAAATTGTACAAACGTTGTCTTGTAGATAGACACGGCGTGGTGTCATGGGCGCCGCCATTTTCGATGCTCATTTGACACCTCTCGGT